AAACTATTCATATGATTTTTCAAAACATTTATATTTTTGTAAGTACACCAGTTTTAAATGTTTCCAAGTAAACACGCAGACGCACCAACTCCAAAGCCTGGTTTTTGCCTTGGCCCATAGTTTTCATAATTCCACCTTCCTGGATAAAGTTCAAGAATTCTCTCAATACTTTCTCCCTCTATATATACACAGATCACCTCCTTCCATCATAATCTAAAGCTTTCGCCGCCTGCAAATCGACCACAGGCACAAGCCATACTGCACCATGACAGGACAGCAGACAGGGATCATGAAACCTAGCCGGAGCGACGACGTTTTGGACGCCGATGAGCAGATCCTAATCACGAACAAGGTCCGAGCACAGTTCGAATCCATGATGCCCAAAAGACCAGCCAAACCAAACCGGAGCGAACCCGATTTAACCTCACCACCTATTCTGGATGAAGAAATCCATATTCCTGAGCTGAACAAGCTTAAATATCTTCAATCACAAGTCCGCTCCTTAATTTGTTTACTTTTAATCACTGGTACAGTTTTCGTTATTTCTATTTGAATTTCTGAATTATTTTCACAGGCAATATTTTCTGGAACGAAAGCTGGGGATGAAGACGACGAGTTTGTGGAGACCCAGTACTACAAAGAGTTGGAATCCATTGATAAACAGCATCACACGGTTCGTTTAATTATCCTTTCTTTCCCTTCGTTTGTTGAATTTGTATATGTTGGCATAAATACTTACTAAATTGGGGATTGCTGGTTTCTCGTATTGAACAGACGGGAAATGGTTTTATAAAAATGGCCATGGAAAAGAATGGAAATGAAGATATTCTTCAATTTCGAGGAAGCCATAGTACTAATGGAGGATTTAAACAGATGATCTTCAAAACTAACCCAGCAACAAATGATTGGATTCCAAGCTTCGAAGATCACCAGGTGATTTAACTGTTAATTCGATGATCAATTATGCTAAAAAAAAGTTGCTTAATTTTATACAACTTTGAGATTAGTGTTTTGGTTATGTTAATCAGGTTGGATACATTTCGTCGAAGCCAAATCGGAGCGAGAGTTGTTAGGTCGCCGGAAGAAGAAGAAATTATCATACTATGGACTTTGTCTTAGTATTTTAATATTGTATTATTGGAGAGAGAATAAATTATTAGTCATTTGGTGGAAATAAAATATATGGTATTGTTGAGTATGTTTTTTAATTTTGTTCTTAAGTGTGACATTGTGCATATCCTTTGTGGAGGTGCAAAAGTTTCATTAGAGGCCTGCCTAGGTTACTTGTTTGTTTCGTCGTTTGGTCAGTTACACCTTGTTTGTTTCTGATTAAAATCAGATTTTAATTTAAGTCAAAGTCAAACAATCAATATTAATCACATCTTTCATGGTCTTACAGTTTTTCAACCACACATTTCAAAGACTTCTATTACAATTTACTAAAA